AGGGAGCCCGATGTGGGACTCGATCCCAGGACCCTGGGATCATGACCTGAGCCGAAGGCAGTCGCTTAACCGACTGAGCCACCCAGGCGCCCAAGCTCCACGTTTCTTAATGGAATAGGAATTCATATGAGCTTTTTCTTCTTTCTTGCCATACCACTATTCTCTTAAGGACATCTACAAAGAGATTATTGGATTGTGATCATTGTTGTGGTTTTGTGTATGTGATTTGAGATGGGAGTGTATTTTCAAAATGTTGTGTTAAGTAGGAAAATGAGGATCTTTTTTCTTTTTAGGCAGAGAACAGAAATACGAAGATGGAATTGCTTTGCTGAGGAACGCACTAGCTAATCAGAGTGACTGTGTCCTGCATCGGATCCTAGGAGATTTCCTTGTAGCTGTCAATGAGTATCAGGAGGCAATGGACCAATATAGTATAGCACTAAGGTAGGCACTTAGCCTCCCATGGGGGGAAGGTCAATGAGGGGAAGAGGAGTCAGGGAACTATGTAATAGGAATTCTGGAAACACACACTTTTGTGCCCATGGTTGAAAACAGAGTAATAATAGTAATGGTAGAAGAGTTATTTGTGAGTTCTAAAAAAAATTCATAAAGTATAAGCAACATTGAACTGTTTCACTCATAACCAGCCCATATCACTATATCACCTGTTTTCATTTGTATAGATCATCTTCCTGGCCTTGCCCACACATAAACATATTTTTATAGGGTATATGTAGTATATATTTTATATTCTGCTTTTTCAAATCAAAGTATTGTAAGTACTTTCCCATGTTTCTACCTACTGTAGTAAAGAACCTAAGCTCTGAAGTTTGAATATTACCTTCACCTGTTATCTTGGGCAAGTTACTAACTAATTTGTCTATATCTACCTTATTAGGTATTAAATGGTTAAATGAGGATTAAATTATTATTCCATGTAAAGCTCTTAGTGCTGTGTCTGGTACATAGTAAATACTAAATAAATAGTGGTATTCTTACTGTTTAATATAGAAGTGATTTCTTTGAGGGTTGTCTGTGTGTCTGTAAGGTTATGGTGAAGGCCTGTCTTTAATCGAGTCTGATCACATCCATTTATTTGTTCAGCAGTTGAGCACCTGGCATCTCAGTAACCACTGGGTATGCTGCGATTCTGGGAGCTCTCAGTCTCAGGCATGTAGACTGATGGATGCCACGTGCTAAGTGCTTTCATAGCAGTCTCTAGAAGGCAAGGTGGGAGTCCCAAGGGTGGGGAGCCCTGGGTGTGGGTGAGAGCTGTATGGACGGTTTCAGAGAAGAGGTTACCAATCAATCTACAGTTACATAAGTAGAGGTGGAATTTGCTGGAGATTGGACACCTCCTGGCCTTGATGGTAATCACAAAGGCTAGAGGAAGAATTGTTTAGAAGCCAAGTAAATAAATGTTCTGGAGCCTCTGAACTTTGGGGATTTTGGCATGTGTAATGATTCTTAGCTGCTAAACTCGTGTGCCCAGGTAAAGGTAGCTTTGGGTCCTGGGGTCTAACCTAGGAGTTGACAGATGTGTTCCATGGTAAGCATGACAATTTTGGTTGACTACTGAAATGCTGATGTGGTTAATTACATCATAACATGAAACAACTTCACTCACAGAAAAATAAGTATTTTTTTGTAACTTTGTAGCTTAAAAATCTGATATTGTTAAGAAATTACATTTGAATTTTTCTGTTAAAGGTTGTTTGCTGCTTTTTCATTTGTGTTATCTAGTATCTTCCTCCAGCAGAACGCTGGGGTAATAAGTGTGAAAACGTATAAGAAATACGTGGAGAAAAACTCAAATTGAGAATTCTAAAAATTAGGACAAGACACCTTTTTTCACTTCTAGTGGTGGACTCCCTGGATCTCGCCTGTGGAACCAGAGTTGTTTGGAGAGGCCAGGCGTTAGCAGTTTCTCTGTGACTGGGTGGTCATTTCACTGCCGTACCAGGGAGATGACGCATCAGCCCGCAAGAAGCAAGGCAGAGATTCAGGCCTCTCCTTTGTTTTGTTGTCCCCTAGTTTGGACCCCAATGACCAGAAGTCTCTAGAGGGGATGCAGAAGATGGAGAAGGAGGAGAGTCCCACGGATGCCACTCAGGAGGAGGATGTGGACGACATGGAAGGGAGTGGGGAAGAAGGGGACCTGGAGGGCAGCGACAGTGAGGCGGCCCAGTGGGCTGACCAGGAGCAGTGGTTCGGCATGCAGTGAGGCAGGCGGCAGCTCTGTGGCCACACTGGCCTGCCCTGCTCTGAGCACTTCTGTGGACTGAAGGAGCCCGGAGGAGCCCGCTCTCTGGGAGGACAATGATTCCGCATGTAATTGCAGCAGGGGTCTCTACCCCTTGCTCCCTATTTCTAGTAGTGAATTCATTTTTAAAAACTGAGCCTGACCGACCTTCCATATATCTCTGTCCTCCCCTGCTCCAGTCAGGGAGGATCGAGTGAGCTCTCTGGGGGGCCTGCAGACGTGCCAGGGCTTCTGGGACAGAGTGCTTTTTATATAACTAATTTCTAAATCTGAAAGCTTTGAGGAATAGACAGTTCTGTCTCTGACATTGTGGGTGAGTTTAAAGGAGTGACCTATCACCCAGAGCAAGAGTGTCCTCTGCCATGTCAGACAGCAGCATGGGCTGGCCCTTTCAGAGAGGGTTTCCTGTTCCGGAAATCATCCTGAGCTGTCCAGACTTCCCTAGTAACCTTGCTTCCTTCTGCAATGTTAGTAATGCCTTAAGCTGACAGTTGCTATTTTGCAGAACAATTTTCTTATTTGCTAATCTGGTAACTTGCCTATGAGCCTGGGCCGGATCTAAGAAACGGGTGTGACCTAGAGCATGAACAAAGGCACACCTGGGGTAATTAACTAATAAAACTGTTTTTTGTACAGTAATGGTGTTGGGTTGATCAGAATGGAAGCCCTTTATAGATTCTTGCGGGGGGGGAGGGTCTCTGAGTCACAATGCATTGATTCAGCCCCAGAATTATTTGCCATAAATACACTCCCTTTCTTCCCAGAGTGTTGGGAGCCAGGAAGATTGGGAACTTTGGGTAACACTGAGCTGGTTCATCTATTTGCATTTTTGATTGGTTAAATTCCCCTTGGGGAGAGAGTCTTTGGCCTGATTGTAGCTGGTTCTGCTCACTTCTGTCGAGGGCACTATACAAATCGGTGTCTGGTTACAGCATTCTGTCATGGGGTCAGCAGGGGGTGCATTCCCTGGGCTTGGTGCTGGGAGATTTCACCTACCCTCTTGTTTCTTAAGATGCCGTGCTTTTCACTGTATCCTTAACTTGGAGGTGAAGGTGGGGAGAATGGCACAGTTAACCCCAAATACTCACTAAAACAAAATTACTCAAAGGTGATACAAAATGTGATTTTGATACAAATGGTAAGTTCTGTCCAAAGTGTAAAAACAGTGGAAGTGTGCAGTAGTATAGGAGCTCCAAACATGATAACTACAACTTCAAGTGGGCAAAAATGTTATTGTTCAAGTATCTTTCAGTATGAGACGCAAAGCCTGGGCAGCCACCATTTGATCAGACAGTGTTTAAAGAGCCCAGCTAGCAGTTGGGGTTGTTCCAGGGGAGCATGCTGCCGGGAGAAGACACTGCTCATTGGCCTCAGTGCTTGCTCTGGATGTAGCTTCATGGCCTTCGGCTTCCTCTTAGCAGCTGTTACAAGTCAGTGCGTTGGGAAAAAAGGTGAAACCTCTTTGCCATTTCCCTGGCTTGGGGAAGAAGCCCAGCCACACCCAGCCTACATGTTGCCGCATGCCAGGCTTGTCGCTGTTAACCCTGAGATTCCCATGGGGTCAGGATGTGCCTTGGAGCCCACGCCCTGTGTATTACCTTCTGTCAGCACCAGCATGTTCCTCCCCTTTCCTGGGCTGGCCCTCAGCTCTGCTGCTAGCCCCTGGATCATCCCAGGCCCCTCCATCCCAGCAACACCCTGGGCTGGATCCCTCTGACCCCTCCCACCTGCAGCTCCAGCATTTCTATCCTGACCATGTTAGGGTGAAAACTGGGTTGGAAGAGGCAACTGAAGCTACATTTTTTAGTGCACCTGATGTAGGATTGAAGACCTTCTTGGTCCACATCAAAGAATGGGAGGAGTGTGACTTAAAGGGTGCTGAAGATCTCACCTGGCATTGCTCCTGTCACTTGGTCTCACAAAAAAAACCTCATAAGGGCAGGGAGCCCCAGGAAGCAGGAACAGAATCAGGCTGCCCAGCTCTCTGCCTGTCTCATTGAGCCATCTTCCAGGAGACGAAGCATCTTGACCAGGGATGGGCTCTCAAATGCCTGTAGTCAACCACAGGTACCCTCTGGTGTCTGGAGTTTCACACACCAATAAGGAAGAGGATGTTTTAACTAATCCTATCCTTTCCCTCCAACTGCTTCCAGCTTGTTCATAGCACCAGTTTGGAATTAGGCTGGGTTCTTTAAAAGTCCCTCCTCTCCCACTGTCAGAGCTGCAGGTCAGGGGCCATTTAGTTCGCTTCCGTGGCCTGAGCTCCCATAGCTTCAGGATTGAGGATGGAATCAGCCCACAAGGAGTTCAGTATGGTGCCCATTGTGTATCCCATTACCATTACCAGGGTAAATGCCAGACTGCCAGTCTTTCCCTTAGGAATTGAGGATTGGTGGTATCACTGAAGCCTTCTTGTCTTTTTTCTCCTGGAGGTCCCTCAGCTAAGCAAGGAGGCAGGGTCCTAAGGAAGGGTGCTTCCTGCCCCCTGTCTTGGGCATTCACACTCTGAACCCTTGCTGTATGCCAGGGACCTGGCAGACATGGCCCGTACAGGGTTGATGTCAGGAGCTCTCCTTCCCAGCCTTAGTTTGGGAGCCATGCTCCTGCCTATGAGTTCTTCCTCAGAGAATGAGACCAGCTTTTGCCAAAATCTGTAATTCTCAAATAGATGATGCAGATTACCAGGCACAGCAGCAAACCTGAATCCAAATCCAGGGCTCAGGCCCAGGAATCTGCATCTTCAATCACTCCCGCCTTGATTTCTTACTCAGATGCAGGCATTTTGTGGTCCGAATATTGAGAAACCTGGGGGAGGGGACTTGAGGGTCCCAGAAGCTGTAGGCTTCACCTCAGAAGGCCTGTGGGGGCCTCACTGTACAGCTGTCTGACCAGGTCTTTGGAGGCCATGCCCAGACCTGCTGGCCATCCTGAGGCCACAGGCTCTGCCTGCTGCATGATAACCGTATTCTCCGTTGGCTACAGGCAGTGAGGCCTGACTCGACACGCACCTCACCGTGGCCTCCGGGGAGCATGGCCTTGGCCAGGCCAGCCAGGAATCCCTGGCACTGGGAGGGCCCATTGAGGTAAGTGCCTCACTAAGGTTTTCCACTTCTCTTTGGAGCCTCTCTGCCCTGGGGCAGTGGATGGAGGGGAGGGGGTGGTATACCAGCCGCCACTTTCCCTCTTGGGGCACAAAATGGCAGGCTTCTGTTGTCTCGATGCTTCTGAGCTGCTCTGGCTGCATCACTAGACAGGGCCAAGGTGTTTGGGCTTTTTTCCAGATGACTGTGGAAGATGTCGGGTATTGGCAACACAGAACATGTCACTTATTTCACAAATCACACAGTAGCAGCAATACCAGGAACAAGCCAGAAGCCACCAAGTCAGTCTCCTTAGCAGCCATTAAAACAGTTTAAAATTAAGAGTACCCTCATGCATTGTTGGTAGGAAAGTAAAATGATAGAGCCATTGTGGGGAAAACAGTCTGGCAGTTCTTCAAAAGTTTAAACAATTACCATATGATCCAGCAATTCCACTTCTGGGTACATAGCCAAAAGAACTAAAGCAGGATCTTCACCAGATACTTGCACACCCTTGTTCATAGCAACATTATTCACAACAGTGAAAAGGTGCAAATAACCGAAGTATTACATTGTTGGAGGAATGGATTAACAAAAATGCAGTGTGTGTGTGTGTGTACGTATGTATACATACATACACACACAATGGAATACAATGAGCTTTGAAAGAAGAAAGTCCTATCACGTGGCACAACATGGATGAACCTTGAGGACATGCTAAGTGTAACAAGCCGGTCGCAAAAGAAGAAATACTGTAACGTGATCCCTGGAGAAGCCAAAATTCATAGAGAGTGGAATGTTGGTTGGAAGTTGGGCAGGCAGCAGGGATAGGGAATTAGTGTTTAACAGGGAAAGGTTTCCATTTAGAATGTTGAAAAGGTTCTGGGGATGGATGGTGGTGATGGTTGCACAACATGAATGTACTTAATGCCACCAATCTGAAAAACGGTTAAGATGATAAATTTTATTTATAGAGAGAGTTATATGTATATATATGTATGCATATATGTACACACACATACACACATATGTACTATGTATATATACACTTTTATATGTATATATATATATATAACTAAAAACCAGTAAAGAAATGGTCTATAATTCTGTCATCCAGACAACCCCATTAACACGTGTAACTATATATGTGTTGTATGAATGTACACATAATTTCAAAAATTCAAAGGTATAAAATTAAAATCTACCCACTGAATCCCAGTGCCTCTCTACAAAATAAATGTTCTAGTTCTACCTTTAGAAAAAGTTTTGCGCTTTTACTTAATGATCTGTATATGAAAGTTACACTAAAGCAGTCATGCTGTCACTCTGAGAAATTCCTGCCCGAGGTTGTCTGCGTGCTCTTGTTTGACAGTTCCACAGAACTCCATTCTGTGGATGGAACAATTTCTGTAATCCTGCTGTTGGTGGACACTTGTTTCCAGTTTTGTATATAATTATTACGGTCTGCACTGTTGTGAACATATTTTGGCATAATCTAAAGACACGGGTCAAGTTCTTTGTAATGTAATTTCTGCATCTCAGACTGTGTCCATTTAAGGCTTTGATGGATGCTGTCAGATTGCTCTCCAATAGTTTGTTTCCTGCACTCTCACTGATACCAGTGTCGTGTTTTTTTTTTCTTACCAGTTTTAGATGTGATAAATATTCCATCATTTTTATTTGCTTGAGCTACAATTTGAGTGATCAAGCAAGCTGTTGGCTATGTTATCACGTCTTAACATTATACCCCTGAGGCATAAAGAGAAAATGGACCAAGGTCCTCAGCCTTGCTGCATTTAAACCTTGCCAGCCAGACTGTCAAGGGCAACATCATCACAACATAGCTCTCAGCTCTCTCGTTTGTCACTTAAATCTTCCAGTGTCTGTCTATAAACAACCCTCTGGTGACCTCCTTTGTGCTCACAGCTTTTTCCTTCTTTGGGCAAATTCCCAGGAGGGGGATTTCAGAGTGATAGTGCATAATCTTTTTTGGAATGTTTAAGGGGTCTGGTTGGCTGGTCCTCTCTCTGTTCAGTGAATCTGTAAGCCAAGGCTGGCGCTGTGGCCTCCCCTTCTCCTGTCGATGTGGCCTCTTCTGGCCATCCCAGTCTACCCAGGGTGTCAGTCCATTTATTGGCTTCAGGTTAGGGGTGAACCAGGAGCTCTCTAATCTCTGAAACTTTCCCTTCTCTCAGTGGAGTTGAGAGCTTGTGGTGGACTCTGGTGATGTCTGCCAAGGCATCTGCCTTTGCTTTCTTGGGCCTTTGGGATTTGGGGCCCCTTCCCCCATGGAACAACCCTTCCTGGCTCTAGGTTAGGGAATGTTTTCTAGATTGAGATCAGATCTTGCTTGCTCTATCTAGGGCTGACTTGATAAGGTTTATGGCTACTTGTGTTCTGAGTACCTGTGTTCTTTCAATGCCGCATTGAAGGAATCCCACTCACCCCAGTAGGAGGGCTGAGCCTCTCAAGGGGAGGGCCTCTCCATCACTAGCTGGAAGCCAAAGGTCCATGGCCTGTCACTAGCTGTGGTCACAGGTAACTCTCAGGCTCTCTGTG